CCTGTTCTGCTCCCCACTCTGTCTTGGGTGAATCCTCTCACCATCCCTGCACCTCTGGCCTGTACCCTAGTATGCATAAATAAATAAATCTTAAAAACAATTGATTTAAAAAAATACCAAAGAAGAGGAGATGGGAGAGAGAGCCTGCCTGTCAGCTTCTCATCTGTCTCCCACTGACCAGACAAGATCCTGTTAATTTCATTGCCTTCCTCTTTTTTTTTTCCTAATAGTTTGAGAAGTAATGACAAACCCGTCATAAGTTGGCAAGTTGAACACTAAACATCACTGATCTTTCATTTCCTGCAAGGATAAACACAAAGATCATCAGAATACAGGAAAAACCCAAGTGCACGATCAGGGCCAAGAAGAGCAGAGAGTGGTAATCATGGGGTCCTCTGAGACCATGGAGTCTGGCACTCATTTCCAAATGAGATGGGAGTCCATGGGAGTCCAGAGGGCGCAGTGTCTGGTCCAAGGTCATACTACAAGTTCTGTTCAGACCAGGTCTTTTAATCAGAGCCAGGATACTGCCTCCAGCTTCAAGGAAGCATCTCTCTGTGCTGTTCTACTGTGGCTCCAAAAGAGGGTGTTAGGAAGGGGCCTGATCACATAAAGATCACTGAGGTGGTAGGACTTGCAGGAAGGCAGTAAATAGGTCCTCTGTGCTAGGTTCAGCTGCGGAGCAACTGGAGATTCATTCACAAAGGAGAGACTGGATTCTGGCCAGTCATCTATCAAAAGACATTTCAGAGTTCAATCTGCTCACCAAGACAGGAGGGTTGAAGGAGGAAGGCCCAGTAAAAGTTGTTCAAGCAGCTTCAGTGGTCCAGTAACTGTTCCCGTGTGACCCTCTCCCTGCTCTTTCACAGGCTAGTTGAGCCTCTGTGGGTTAGGGTCATGTAACTGACCAGGTTCCACATCCAGGATCGGGCTTCTGCCGTGGCTTGTGGACCTTCACTTTTCCCATGGTGAAGGACTGTCCTGAGTCCAGTTCTGCCACCAGAGCCTACCCTGGGCAGACACAGCCAGGTAGCCCATTACTGGGGCCATGCACATATGCTGAGGAAATGAAAAGCTAACTTGAAAAGTTATCTTCACTCAACATCGCAGAACCTTATTATTTACAATAGTCAAGACATGGACACAACGTCAGTGTCCACCAATGAATGAATGGGAGGACACACGCACACACACACACATCAACTATAAAAAAGAATGATAGTCTACCACATGCAACTACATGGATGGACTTTGAAGACATTATGTTGAATGAAATAAGTCAGACAGAGAAAGACAAATATTGTTTCATCTCTTGTATGAGGAATCTCGAACAAACAAACAAAAGAACACCAACTCATAGATACAGAGAACAGATTGGTGTTGCAAGAGATGAGGGTTATGCAAAAATGCATCCAAAGGTAGAAACTTCCAGTTATAAAATAAATAAGTCCTGATTTACGGTACAACATGCTGACTGCAATTAATGATGCTGTATTACAATTCAAACAACTAAGAGAGTAAATCTTATTACATACAGAAATTTGTAATTACGTGGGGATCCATGCTAGCAAGACTTACTGTGATGATCATTTTATAATCCATATAAAAATTGAATAGTTGTACAACTGAAACTAATATATGTCAATTATACTTCAATAAAAAACAAAGGCAGATATCCTGATACTAAGTCTAGCTGTTGAATTCTACTTGAGCAAAAAGGCTTAAAAGCCAAGCAGAGAAGAGCTACTGCTTCCCTATCCTTCCACTGTGTGATACCGGGATATTCTACAAAGAACAACAGCAAAGCAAGACTTGCTGGAATCAGCTCCTGGCTCCACCACTTTCCAATGGAGGAAACACTTAATCTCTAGACTGCAGTTTGCCATAAAATTACTTACAGCTTTGCTTTAAGCATTAAATGAGATAATCCACACGAAGTCCCCAGCTCAAAGCCTGCCTGGCCAAAGCACATAATAAATGGCAGCTGCTTTTGTTACTCAGTGGTTCCCCCTCTTGCCTGGCTCCTCCACCCAGTTGTTTCTTTTCCTCTCGATCTCCCATTATTTTTCTGTCTGCTGATTAAGTGGGATCTAGGGCTTTATGCCTGAAGACCCTTAATCCCAGGCACACCAAGGGGCTGCTCTCTAGAGACAACACAGGCAGCTGGCCAGTGGACTTCTTCTTCCCTGGTCTGCATCTTCCGGGGTCTGTCTCGGCTCTCCCCACAAGCCCCATCCCCCTCCACCCTCCACAGCCCTGGCTCCACCCAGGCTGTGCGTGAAGAACCAACCTAACAGTGATGGAGTGCAGAGACGAGGACAGTCCACCCCATAGGCCAGGTCTACCTGGTAGGGCTAGGTCAGGTGAGAATAGCACCTTCCCCCAAAAGTCCACTATTTCTCAGCACCCACTTTAAATCTAGAGAGAACTTCAGCCTCATCACCAAGAGAGCACATTTAGGTAGGCAGCAGAAAGCTGTTGAATTCTACTTCCCTTCCCCTAAATGTCTTTGTTCCCTCTTACCCAGGCACTCACTCTATATCAACATTTTCATACAGTCTGTGGTAAGGGTCCAGCTGTTATTTTTGCTAAATAACTCTGGGCCAATACATTTATATAACCAAAGAAATAAATTGCTACAGAACCAAAGTGTCATTTGTAATATTCAATTACTATACTATTTCTTAAACACTTTCACTTTCTGTATTTAGCTTTTTGCAGACTGGCAGACATTTGTCAGATACACACCCATCTCTGGACCAGACAGAGTAGGGCAGCTTCCGGAAGGAACAGATCCACCCGGGAACCCATCTGCCATGGACTCTCCCCATCCTGGGTTTTTGTTCTGTGATGTACTCAGCAGCAGATCTACCCAGAAACTGCAGGGGGTAAGATCCTGTTAGAATCTGCACAACCTGCTAGAACCAGCTGCTCCCAGAGAAGGGATGAAGAGATGTCCCCAATCCAAGCACAGCCAGATGCCCTTACCATTCCATTCCAGCCCTGTTGATCTCCTCCCACCAGCACTCCGTGGGTTCCCCGAGGCTCTGGGGTGTGGGCACGCAGGCATAGTTCCATTGTCTGTCGGAACCTTCCTTCTTGTTGAAGATGCTCCTCACGGCCACTATCACCTGCCCATGGGGACACTGGTAGCTGAAGCCCTGCCGGTTCAGATTCACCCACCCATCATCGTCATAATCCTGGTACTGCTGGTATGGGTACCCATAACCTCCATACTGGCCCCCAGCTATGGTGACCAGTGGCAGCAGCGCCCACAGAAAAGTGAGGTCCATGCTGCTAGGACTTCTGGCAAAAAATGTCACCCTAGGTCTGCTGGGCTGGCTGTTTTATGCAGCTGCTATTTACATGTGGCTTCCAGATGTGGGTGAGAGGGTTCCAACTGCAGTGTGTCATTGTTTAAGCTGGACTTTTTGGCATGGAGATATTGGCCGTAAGTACATCCAGCTTGTTTTAAGGTGGAATTTGAAAAAAAAAAAAAATAAGGAACATACAAATGGAAGAAGTTCCTTGGAGAAAGAACAAATTTGCCGATAGGTTATAAAAGTAAACAGCTTCACAGCCTTTAGAAATATTCACCTGCAGAAACTGCAGGTTTGTTGCTCCATTTATCAGTAGCTCCCTCACCCCTCACCAGCAAACCCCTGTATTTGTTTTCCAAACTAGCCTCTTAGATCAGTGCAAACATCCAGAGAGTGATTTCAAAACACCAAAATGATTAAGCAGAGGCATTTTGATTTCTGCAAGTCTGGATGCCTGGTTTCTTTTAAAGTCCCAGCCCACTATCATTTAGCCTTGAGCATAAACATGGTTATTATGTTTGCAAGGCTGATGTGAGAATCCCAAAGTCACATAGAGAAATCTGATAGCCCATGGAGAGATACACTGGACATTATCTCACATTTAAGCATACTTTCGATCTTTGGGAATTGGAAACAACTATGTCTAGAAACTGTTCCACTTGCAAATATGTAAGGCCACTTAATTTTTTTTAAAGATTTATTTATTTATGCATATAAGAAGTGGAGTACAGGCCAGAGGTGTGGGAGGTGAGACGGTTCACCAGAGTCAGAAAGGGGAACAGAACAGGTGGATTGGCTGAAATACACTGCTGAGGGGAGCAGCAGGAGAGACAGGAGAGGTCTGCTGCACCATGTGGGTCACTCCCCGCCCCCCCCGGCCAGGGATAGAACTCATGCTGCAGTCACTGCAGATAGCTTCATAGTGCTGCAACTTAACCCATTGTGCCACCAGGAAGGGCTCCAATCTGTCACTTATTATCCTTCAGTGTTCTTTCATTTGGAATGAGCTTTCTTTTTATTGAGGTATAATTTGTCCTTAATAATGTTCATTATGCATGAAGTGTGACATTCAGACCTTGAACCAGTAGTATAATCAAAACATTGAATAGTCCCATCAAAGTCCTGGGTGCCCTTACGCCCCTTGCTAGTCAAATCTTCCCCCATCCCAGCCCCCAGTAACCATTGATCTTTCTGTTGGTGGAGTTTTATATTTTTCAGAACATCAAATAAATAAAGCCATATAATCTGGCATCCTTTGTGTCTGATTTTCATCACTTAGCTTTTGCGTCCACCCATGTAATTTTGTATACCCATGCCATGTTCCTTTTTCTTGCCGAGTGGCATTCCATGCTATGGATGTGCCAGATTGTCTATTTCCTTTTGAAGGACAATTGGTTTCTTTCCAGTTTGGGGTAATTACAAAAAAACCTGCAATAACACCCTGGATAGGGTTTTGTGTGAACAAATTTTTATTTCATTTGGGCAAGTACCTAGGAGGGTTGCTGAATCTTCAAGCAAGTCTAAGTTTGTACGAAACTGCCTGATTTCTGAAACGGCTGGACCCTAGCACCTCCCTACCAGAAACCTGCCTGTCTACACTGTCAAAATTGACTCAATTGCTGGTGGTATTTCAGTGAGGCTTTGATTTGCATTTTGCTAGTGGCTAGTGGTTTTGCATATCTTTTTTATGTTCATTGGCCATTCATATGTTAGCTTCAGTGATTGGGGGTCCACATGTTTTGAAGTCTTTAGACATTTCCTGTGTGCATTGTATTTCCTTTTCTTATCAGGGTTGCTAAGACCTAATAAATCATAATCTCAGCTGGTGCTCAGGTATCTATATTTTTAAAAAAAGTTTAAAGTGGATTCCACTGCTTAGTGGTAAAAGCACCAGTAGTGTCAAAATGTTCTCCAGGTGATTCATATTCACATCAGTGTTTTACAACCATTTCCTAAAGAAATGTGGAGGGAAAAATCACACTATAAATCTCACTCTTTGCTCTATCTATAGCATATTTACCAGATGGCATTCAGACTAGATTAAACATCAGGACAACCTTGAAGGAGAAAAAGTTACATATCCAAATAAAGAAGTTGTGTGTGTGTGTGTACATGTAATCTGCTCTGATGATCATGGTTGCCCAAGGGAGGTGTGGTTGTTCTGGCGGAACAGTTGCATGAGTCTTAGTTCTGATCGTAGCACCACATTTTTCTACCATGTCTACTCCTGGGTAATACCCACTAGTAGTTACCCTATAACTACTTTGATTTACAACATGCTGGAACAATCACTTTTCAACCTGTCAGCACTGAAGAATTACCCAGGGATTTTTGACAAACACCAGTGTAGGAATCTAACCCCAGACCCATCTGATTAAAAGTTTTGAGCAGGGTCCAGACCATAGCACAAATATGTGCAGCTGAACCGTGGGGATACGGGATCTGTTCAGAGGAATGTATTGTTAGGCTATTTTGCGGTCATGCAAATGTCACAAAGTGTAACTACACATACCTGGATGGTATTTATTGCACACTTGGGCTGGATGGTACAGCCTACTAGACTTGTCAAATACACAGTCCATGGCTGACCATTATTGAGCATGAGTTTGCAGAAAGAGTTATCAGGTAAACAGGGCTGAGCACAAAATAAGCTAAGCACAGAATAAGGGAGGAGAATTTGGGGGTTAGGGAGCAGCAGACAGAAGCAAGAGTTTCCTGTAGAGAAGACACCCTCAGGAACACTGGATCCAGATCTCCGCGGGAACTAAGTTGGATTGGCTCAGAAAGACTCATGGAAGGAAGCTGGGGTCTGTCTAAGTGCCTAATTAGTGCTCTGGGATCCCTGTGGTGGATGAAAATCAGAAATGTCACTTTATTAAATACATTATGTGATTGTAAGAGGAATAACAAAAATTCAAATACATTGCACATGTTACAATCAGAAGCTCATTACCTTTCAGAGAACATGTTAAAGGAATGTCCCATTGTTAAAAACTCTGGATATGAATGAGGAAAAATTGCCTTCAATCAGAAAGCACTTAAATGTCTCTCTGAATCAAATTCCTGAATTTGAACTTGTTTTTTTTTTTTTTTATGTATTTAAACCTACGGAATTAAACCACATGATCTAGAGGGAAATAGGCACTTAGTAAATATTTATTGTTCCATTTGCAAGGCTCTAACATGATCTAGTTCATCTTTGCATTGACGGAGGTGGTGAAGCTGGCTTTATTATTTCTACTTTACCAGTTTGGAAATAGAGGCTTTGGAGGTAGAGTTATATCTAAAGATACAAACATATTGGGTGACAAGATCTGAATCCATGTCCCCCATTCCAAATCAAATTAAAACACCCCACTTGCTTTCAATCAATCCCAGGGAGCTCTACAGTTCCTTATCTACCCAGAGGATTTGGCGTCAAGAATCCAGATGAATGAGTGTTGCAGGGAAGCCAGGTGAAAGAAGGCAGACAGAACTTTGAAAGTTCCAGCTCAGGACACATTTACGGACCCCCCTCCTGCTGGTGGTAGGGCTGGGTTTTGGAAGAAGTAGCTCCCTAAAGTTGACTTTTCCTCCAGGAGATAACATTATCATTGCCTGCACTATCATTTCCTGCAGCGCCCTTTCTGTTTGCTGCTTCCTGTGGGCAGGGGTAGCTACCCTTTTAGGGATCATGCTCCCCAACCCTGCAGCTACACACTGGCACTTCCTTTTGACATTGTACAAAGCCTTCACCTCTATGGTTTCAGACCTTGGGCTTGGTCGCCTAGGAAGTCCAGTGTCTCTTTCTGCTCTAAAGACACATGTCCCCCCCAATTCAGTATTTCTCAAAGAGACATCCACAAACCATGCATATCACAATGCTGGAGGAATACGCTACAGGGAGACTCTTGGGGTCCGTCAGCCCACCAAAGGAGAATCCCTGGAAGTGGGACCTTAAACCCAAGTTTTGTTTTAAGATTTATTGATTTATGCATACAGAGCATAGGTGCAGGGGTGGTGAGAGGATTCACTAGAGTCAGAATGAGACGCAGAACAGGCTGAAAGTAGCAGCGGGGCGGGGGTGTCAGGAGAGGTATGCTAAGCTATGTGATCACCTCCGGCGTGGGAGGGGTTTGAACTCATGCTGAAGTGGCTTTGGCTTTTTAGTCTCTGCTCTAACCCACTGCGCCACCAGGGAGGGCCCAGAAACCAAGTTTTTAATGAGCCCTCCCCTGAGTTCAAAATCCAAAGCCACAGGCTAGTGTGCCTCTCCCTTCTCTGAGACTATTTTTGATATGTATTCTTTGAGCATGAGACACACCAGGCAAGGCCCCTCTGACAACCTCCCAGCTGCTTGTGCAGGTCCAAGTGTGCACCAGCTCCGGGTATGGGGCTGTGCTAAGAGCTTTATAATATAGTCCTGCTCTCATGGGGTCCACCTCTCCCTCCTGTTCCCCTGTCAGCCACACAGACAGTGACTGAGCAGAACCAAGAAGTGTAGCAAAAACTGCAACCTTCCTTCCACCCCTCCCCACAGCCTGGAGCTAAACACACTGCACTAAAGAGTTCTATTTTTTAACCCAGCTTTTAAATAATGCTGCAAGATTAACGCCTACAAAAATAATTCACTCTTTCACAGCAGATTCACTTCACCTAAACAAAGGCACCCAAAGAGGCTCTAGCATTTCTGCTGTGCTGCCGCGCACATACATGTTACCTTTAATCCAGCTTGAAAATTAAATGAGAAGATTCATGGAACGTGCATGGACAGGGGCTGGTATTAGAAGAAATCAAGTTATCACTTGAAAGTGGATGCCCTGGGTATTTTCCACTTCACTTTCTAGGTCCCCTCTTCCCTCCCTTGCACCCAAAGAAACGCCACATGCTATTTATGAGTGCTTCTTTCCCTTTGGGTCCTGCTTGGGCTTGGTCAGTGGGAAGCATCAGGTAAGTCTTAAAAGATGAGAGGAGAAGAGTGAAAATATCAAATC